AATACCATAGGTTATGAAATAGAGTATCGCACCAGCTGACCAAATATCTGCTTTAAATGTAATATGATATATCTCCAGACATTCTGGTGCACTATAATATTGTGTACCCATTGGCGTACCAATTTGTCTAAAAACAGGAGAAAAAGCAGAAAACGAAAATCAATATTCAAACTGGATGGGGCGGGAAAAAATACGGATAAAAGAGCATAGTTTTCGTTTTCATATATTAACAGCTTACTATATTACTCATATGAAACAGTCATATAAGCGTCTTATTGTTTTTGACTCCTTTTACTTTTCATTCACACAAGATAAGGCTTGAATTAAGAGGTGAAACAGAGAGAGAAAAGTTGAATATATTGTTTGTCGAAGGATTTGTCGAGCTGGTCGTATCCATATACATGTGTAAAAATTTTCAAGTTATTTACTACCTACTGAAATATAGAGGGAATGTTGAAATTTCCAGTATCAGTTCTTGTATGAATTAGCATGGATGAACACTTGGGAATGACAGATGTTCAATTTTCAATCTGATAAAAATCATTGAAAGCATTCTGTGAGTGAGTTTTAGCTCTATTTTCTGAAAAGAAGTTGTCAATGGTAGTCGATCGCATGCCTTCTAGACTACTGCTTTCTAGGAGCATGCCTCCCAGACCGCTACTGAGAAAATGCAAATTTTCGTCCAAAATTTGCACAGTGAAGTTTACCCTCAAAGAATGAACTCGATGGAAGTTAGTATATCTGAAAAACGTCAGTTATTCAAGTAAAAAACAGTCGTAGTGAAGTTGTTGAATAGGGCAGACCCCAGTCAAACACCGTAGAGCGAAAAATTTAACTAATTTAATGTAATTAAGCGAATGTGTGGCACAAGGAGACTCTGAGATATTAAAGCACGATAAGTGTTTATATACCACTGTTTGATCGTTTAGGGCGAAGGCTCATGAGTCGAAATAAGCTTTGAGAAGTCCGACCAAGCCTCAAAAAAACGTTCAATATTCGCTTTATAGAAGATCTGTTTACTGAGCAATTGTCTCGGATATAACTGGTGGATTTATTTTCAATTCATTTCTAGATACGGCAAAATATACCTTTCATATGCATTTTGTGCTATACCCAAATCCACAATTTTCAAATCAAGAGGAATTGATGGGTTTTCAAACTGAACTATATTGTCAGGTTTGAGATCACGATGAATCTATATATACACCGGTATACATTGAAAACAAATAGAGAAGTGTGTATATAGGTCTGAATACTTACAATATTGTGTCTGAATAAACCCTCGAGTATTTTAACCAATTCTTTCCATATAATTTTTCTTTCAATTGAACCAATATAATCACCAGATTTACGATAATCTGCACCGAACGTTGCACGTATATTTCGGCGTTGTTGCTTTAGAGAATGATATCTTTGTGCTAATGTTGTTAAATTATCCATACCCAGTTCCATAGCAATCATTGCTATGCCTAAGTGTGGATTAAAATCAAATCCATAAATGGTTACAACATTTTCATGGTCTCGTCGCATTTTGTAAGCTATTTTTATTTCTTTTAATATTGAATGCTGTAACTCAAGTGGTTCCACGGTACTTGTACATCCACCAATGTTAAATACTTTGACAGCAGCTCGCCTGCCTAGAACAACAAGAACAAAGAATTATCGTAAGATTTTTTCTCTGTTCGTTTGGATACATACCGTCTTCATTGACAGCTGCATAAACAGTACCAAATGATCCACTATTTATTTTTTTTATCAATGTATATTGATGAGATTGAATAATAAACTGTTGATTAGTTAATGTTTGAAGAGGACTTTGACCATTGAGACAAAAACTATGTGGATATGATGGTATATACATAGCTATATTTTTAAAAGAACAATAGAAAAGATATGTCGGAATCCGGAGACTCTACCTGTATAAAGTGTTTCCTGCTTGTTCCTGAAAACTACTAATTTCTTTTTTAATATGAGAGTTGTCAAAATATAATCAACGTATGATATTAAAAATAACTTTCTCTTCATACTCGGTGGATGGGTATATGAATTCAAACCTAATGCTATCCATTCCATAATTTGAGCAAAATTAAAAAATTCATAACTCAGTCAAAATCCATCCAGATTATGTCAATTAGTTTTTGATATTTATGGGTAACAATTTGACTAGAAATTTGATTGAGATAATAGCAGCTTTAAATTTTT